TTTTTTTTTTTTTTTCTCCTTCCCCTCATTTAGATTAAGCCAGAGGGAGACTCCTCTTGCCGCCCAGGAATTTTTCTTTGTGTGACTGTTGTTATTTTGAGCCTCTTTTGGACTTTTGTGCCTGGAATCGCCGCAGAGACTTTTCTGATTTCCCCGCCTTCTTTCATTTTGCCCTGAGGAGCAACAGCAGAGATAGCTTCTTGTAACATCACAGGTCTGGAGAAGGGCCCCCTTTCTTTCACTTCTTTTCGTGCCTTCTCTCCCTTAGTAGATCGCTCCACCTTCGTGCCCTTGGAAATGACTTTCTCCAGCTCTTCTCCTGTGAAGGCGTGTAGGTGGAAAGGGTCTCGAATTTGCCCTTGTAGTGGAAGGTTTCTGCCCCAGCTTCAGGTGATCAGTTCAGTGCAGCCTTTGTTACCCACCCTAAATGCCTGTGCATTTCTGCCTGGCCTCCCTCCCCAGATTTCTTTATAGTCAGTGCCTCTGGCTACTCTTATCTGTCTTAACTTATCCTATCAAGTTCAGTCTTTGGCGTTTTATCCACCACTTCTGTGTTCCAGTGTATTCCCCCAGGAACCACCTTATTCCAAGTCTGAAGGAAACTCCCAGAAGATCTCTTCTGTCATCTTTTTGTGCATACTTTTCTAACATGGGACTTTTTCTTCTAGCCTGTCTCCATAGCATTTCTGTTTGCTTTGGCAAAAGTCTCTAATTCCTTTCCGATTCCGATCGAGTACATTTGTCTCTTGTCTCCTTTTTCTTCAAACTTGCGTTACCTTTGTTGAAAGGCCCTTCCTGCTAAGATTTTAGCCCCGTGTTCCCCACTGTTTTGTCCTTCGTCCTGGTCTGTCCCACTCCTAAACTCTGGGTTCCAAGAAAAGTGATGCTTAGTGTTTGAGATTGAGAGACGACGTTTGCTTTTGTTCTAGGAAGCAGAGGAGCTAAGCATCGCTGGGAAAGATTGGTATCTAGTTCAGATTAACTGTGTGAGACGAATGGGAAGGGAGACGTTTCCCTCTCCACGTGTAAGCGTCAGACCGAAATCTCTCTCTGTTTTTCCTTTTTTCCGCTGTGGGCCGTGGCAGTGATGGGCTTGGGAGAATCAGGGAGAGGATATTTTGAAATCAGAGAGTAGAGTTTGCAGTTGAGCTGAAAGCCAGGTGATGTGGGTTTTCTGTTCGGGCCACGTTAGCATTTTGTGCCCCATGGCACAGTTAAAAACAAACAAGTCCGTAAATTCAGACTAATCTTTCTTCAACTTTTCAGTGCCATATAGATACTTAGCCATTCTGACCTTGCTACTGATTTAATATTCATGACTCAGCAAACTTTGGTGTGGGTCAAAGAGTGTTTACCATGTTTCTAGAATTATGAATTTGGGAAGGCCCCTTTCTCCTGTCTTAGAATTGGGTCCTGCTGTTGATCCTCCAAGTTAGGACAGAGGTCGGGTCTGGGCCCTCGCTTCTCCTGTAGCTATCCCGCCAAGTCTTCTCTTCCGGCTCTTAAGTGTATTTTATTCTCTGAGCTGTACTCTCAGATGAAATGTCTGTTCACCTTTCAGGGCACAGTTAGCAAGTTCCCAGGCCTTGCCTGGGTACCCAAATTTCCATTCCTTTCTCAAGAAATTTAGCATCCTCAGCCTCAACCTGTGGTTTTTACCCAGGCCCTGCCTGCTTTTCTCCCAGAAGTCTCTCCTCTCAGAGCCCAGGACTAGGATGGACGTGAGGGCTAATTGCATACTTTGTAATCTGAGGAAACAAGCATCTAGAAACCTGGGTCACTCTTCTGTCTGGTCCTAGGCCCTATAAGCCAAAGCCACTATATGCCATGGCCGCCGAATTGAGTCATCTTTGCATCTAGTTGGCCTTGTAGAGATTGACTCACCTGCTCCTGCCCTCACCTGCTTATCTTCTTAATGAGCATGGACTGAGCAGAACTGGGAGCTCGCCTTCTTCCACTGGTATCTTTGGAGGAAAACAGACCGGTGATGCAGGTGAGAGTAAGGAGCAGAGACTGGGTTGGAATATGAAGTCGAGGAGCAAGCTTGTTTGGGAGAATATTTGAAGGAAAAAGACCCTGGAAGTATAAGAGTGTGTGGCATTTGGTTGAACTGCTGAGTAATGTGTAGAGAAACTCCATTTCTGAGCTCTACGTTTCTGCCTTGGGGGTGATGGTAGCTGAAAACACAGGGATTGCTACTTCTGCCTGAGGGCCAACCCTGACATATTGGGGGAGAACCGGATTAGGGCTGTAGGCATATCTTTTGTGGGTGAGTATATCTAGGAGTGGGAACCTCTTCCCAAGGGAGAAGACAAGTGGTTCTCTTCTTCTGTCTCTTCCACTGCCTTGTATCTCATCCCTAAATGTTTTGAGAATAGATCTCACTCTCACACTATTTTTCAAGCTTGGAGATAGACGTTTTGGACAAAGAATTGGATAAAGTCAGCAGAAGAGGCCGGTTGAAATGTCTCTAGAAATCCAGACAGACCCTCATAAAGGGAGAAAAGAAGAGGGAAGCCAGAGATGCAGTGTGAGTGCTTATGGGAGGAGGACCCAAAAGGCAAGAAGGACTTGGGCAAATAACTGAGGGGCAAAACTGTGTCAGAAGACTTGGCATGGAGAATAGTAGGAGTGGGTATTGATGGAGCTGAATGAAGAGTGGAGAAAACCTGTCTGGGGAGGGGAATGACAGAGAAAAGTACAGGTGAGGAAGAGCCCAGGCAGCCCCGGGAGTACTAAATTCCCTGGACAGTAGGAAGGTGTCATAAGATCTATGCCGAAAGAAGGGAAGGGTGGTCAGCCGGTATCGGTATCGAGAGTGAAATCTGGATTTCGCTTTTCCCACCGTAAGGAAACAGCAGTACGGTAAAATGTGATTGACCAGTTCTTGGAGGTGCGAGGGAGACGAGTCTGCATTTTTGGTATTTTCTCTCCTGAGCTCAGCTTTTGTGCCTAGCTGCAAAGCTCGGGAATAGTTCTTGTGCATTAGCCTTTTGAAACCCCTAATTTTTAAATTTTTATTTAAAAAATTTTTTTGTTAATGTTTTATTTTATTTTTGAGAGACAGAGAGACAGCATGAGTGGGGGAGGAGCAGAGAGAGAGGGAGACACAGAATCCAAAGCAGGCTCCAGGCTCTGAGCTGTCAGCACAGAGCCCGATGCGGGGCTCGAACTTACGGCCTGTGAGATCATGACCTGAGCCGAAGTTGGACGCCTAACCGACTGAGCCACCCGGGTGCCCCTGAAACCCCTAATTTTTAAAAACAGCTTTATTGAGGTATAAACAGTGAAGTACCTGTATTCAAAATCTAGTTTGTTCAAGTTTTGACATACGTGTATCTGTCTAAATATCTGTATAGATCTATGTCAGACCGTGACCACAATCAAGGTATTTCCTTCACTGCCAAAAGTTCCCTGTCAATCATGGATCTGCTTTCTGTCATTAATAAATTAATTTGCACTTCCTGATTTTTGAACTAAAGTGAAAAGGCAATTCAGTAGCGAAAGGGTAGTCTTTTCAACAAATGGTGTTCAAGTAACTGGCTATTCATGGATAAAAAATGGCTTTTGATCATATCTCGCACCATATGCAGAATTCAACTCAAAGTGGATCACAAACCTAAATGTAAAATAAAAACTATGAAACTTCAGAGGAAGAAATATAAGAAAACCTTGTCGCCTTAGATTAGGCAAAGGTTTCTTAGGAAACTAAAAGCTCAATTCTAAAAGAACAGATTGATCAGTTAGACTTTCAGAGTTAGTCCCTCATTTTGAGTATGTGAAAAATCGAGAGAGAAGGTAGAAAAATGGGGGAACACACAGCCTTGGCCTCTTCAGTGAGGACACAGGCAGTAGGAAGTGGACCAGCTAGTCCGTCATCCCTGTTCCTCTCCCATGTCATGATCTCAAGATTGGGGTTTTCTACGAATTTTATCCTTTTCATATTCATAGCAGTGTATCACGGTCTAGGATTCCAGAATCTCACATCACTTAAGTCACGATTTTTCCTTCTGTAAATTGTGTTCATCGTTTTGAACACCAGTGTTCTGATTATCCACTTAGGACCCAGCCGTGAAGGCACCAAGTTTGCTCAGGTCTCTTGCTGCATCGGGGCGCTAGACCCTTCTCTCTCTTGGCGGATCCTGATGTCCTCTAGGTGTTCCAGGACAGCCTCACACTGTCTCATGGGATATTCTTAGCCCTGCTGAGTGTTGTTGGTATTTTAATTGAACTCTGGCAAGTTGCTCAGCACAACAGGAGACAGACAGATAGGGAGGCCCCTGTGGGAGCCATGCTAGACCATCGCATCGGTTTCCAAGCTGTTCTGATGGAGGTGGTTTGTCCCCCTTCTATTTAACTTCTGTCTCATCTTATTTGTGGATTTTGCCACTTTTCTTTCCATGCCAGTACCATGTCCTTTGTCTCTATCCCAACATTTCGTACTTTTTCCCCAGTACAGGTTTTTCCGGCCCTATCTTTAGATTGCTTCTGTCCCCATCTAATACTCTAGGTAACGGCCTCTAAATATCTCTGTTCCCTTGATGGCCACAGTGGTGGTAAATTGTCATTTTCTTTCTCTCTTTCTCTTTCTTTTCTTTCTTTTCTTTCTTTCTTTCTTTCTTTCTTTCTTTCTTTCTTTCTTTCTTTTTTCCTTTCCTTTCTTTTCTTTCTTCTTTCTTTTCTTTCTTTTCTTTCTTTTCTTTCTTTCATCTAATTTGTCCTAAAATCCATTCTAGGGCTTTGTGAAGGATGTCCATGAAGACTCTGTCACCATCTTCTTTGAAAACAAGTAAGACCTTGGGAATAGAGAATGCAGCATACTGGGTCCTAGAAGGAGAGTGGAGAAGAAGGGGTGGCTGAGTCCTATGAGGCCTGTAATAGGTGGGAGAGAGCCAGGGCTTTAGGGGAGGGGCGGTCAACTTCTGTGGATCCCAGGTGAGGGTGGGGGACATTTGACCTAGTATTTAGGTGCTAGCAAGTGACAGAAGACACCAGTATGGAGGAGGACCTGGAATTTAGCCTCTGATCACCAGAGAAGGTGGCAATTGCCCAGAAGAGGCCATAACCCCCTCCTGAAAAAACGGGCAACCACATTGGCCCGAATGGCTTTCATGTCACGGTTTCCCTTGCAGCTGGCAGAGTGAGAGACAGATTCCCTTTGGGGACGTCCGGCTACCGCCTCCAGCTGACTATAATAAAGAGATCACAGAAGGGGATGAGGTTGAGGTAAGGGCCACGGGGCCCACCCTTTCGAGATGTCACTTTTCCCAGGATTCTGCCATCTTCCTTGCCCTGATACTAGTACCCTAGGCTCCTCACTGCTTGGTTCACTCTCCTTCCCTCTCCATGCTGAGCCGCTACACCCAGCCCGGTGGCCTGTGAAAAAGTGAAATGCACCGGTTCCCTGTCACTGTGTGTCCAACCAGACTCTCAGGGGCTTCCCAGTTTCGAGGAGTCACTTTTCCTCCTCCTATGGTAACGGCACGTAAAATCACAGTCTAATTTTTAGTTTGCTCCTTCCTCTAGTTTCCTTTGTCTTGGCGTAGCGTGCCAGTCAGGTGTCTGAATGCTTCTTTAACTCGTGATGTTTGGGGATGGTCCTCAGTAAGTCTTTTATTTTCAACTTTTCTTCAGGTTTATTCTCGAGCCAACGAACAGGAACCTTGCGGCTGGTGGCTGGCCAGGGTGCGGATGATGAAGGGAGATGTGAGTTGACTCGGAGGCCCTTGGAGAGCTGTTGAGGCAAAGACCGTGGTCACAGAAGGGTGGGAGACAGGTGCTCAGGTCATCCCCAACTTCTCCATTCTTTCTCCCTTTCTGCCAGTTCTATGTCATCGAATATGCTGCCTGTGATGCCACTTACAATGAGATTGTCACCCTGGAGCGGCTCCGGCCAGTCAATCCCAATCCTCTTGCAACCAAAGGCAGCTTCTTCAAAGTGACCATGGCCGTGCCTGAGGATCTGAGAGAGGCGTGAGTTATTGGTGTCGGGAGGGGGCCCCTTGACATTCCTCCTCCGCCCTGATTTCTCCCAGCGCTCTCCATCCTGTCTTCTCCAGAGCCCCTTCTGCTCCCAGTTCCTCTCTTCATCCCTGTTCTCTACTTCAGTCCTTCGTCTTTTCTTGTTTTTGTCATCCCCCCCTCTTCCCTGAGCCTCTGACTGCACTCTGCTCTGTGCCTCTGAGCGCTCTTCTCTTCCTCTGCAGCTGCTCAAATGAAAACGTCCATAAAGAGTTCAAGAAAGCGCTGGGAGCGAACTGCATCTTTCTCAACATCACAAATAGTGAGCTCTTCATTCTGGTGAGTTACTCCACCTGAATTTCACGTAAGCCCTTTTAGCAATTTTTCCTTCTACCTTTTTAACTCCTTTGCAGAAAGGAAGGGGCTCAGAGGTGCTTATATTTACTTGTCAAAGGAGACTTTATTGTTCCTGACCCCCGAGGGCCCAGGTAGCCCACGTTTCCCTAGTTTCCCTCGTGTAGGACCATCATTTATTTTTCTAACCTGTCTATTGTATTGCCATCTGGGCTGGACCCTCCCTTGCGTATTTGGACTCAAGTAGACTGTACGGTTCTCAGCTCTGCGTGCTCCCTAAAATCACTTCCCCTAGGTCCTCAGATAGTAGGCCCTTGTGAGACGGACAATGATTTTTCTCTTCCTTAGCTTCGTTTCATACCACCTGTCCTTTTCTAGATATTCAGGCATCCGGATATCCCAGCTCTTGGCTCTCCCCCAGTGTGTATTCAGTCTTTTTTTAAATGACTTTTCCATCGGTTTCTTCCAGTCAACCACAGAGGCTCCCGTGAAGCGGGCGTCCCTGTTGGGTGATATGCATTTTCGAAGCCTGCGCACCAAACTGCTACTCATGTCCCGCAACGAAGAAGCTACCAAACACCTAGAGGTGAGTTCTGGCTCCACTTTTTCCTGCTGAATGGTATTGTTGTCCTCCCCCTGTCCCACCTCCATCCTTCACTCATGCTCTTGTGTTTACAGAATAGAAAGACGAAGGTCTTTCTGGGCCGTTAAACTTGCGTCTACTGTGTTATCCCAGACTCCTCCAGATGGCAGAGCTCCATCGTGTTATAATAGTACAGTTGTTCTCAAACTTTTTTCTTCACTGTGGGACCTTTTGATCAAGTGAAATTTTACTTGAAAACGCAATGCAGGGGCGCCTGGGTGGCGCAGTCGGTTAAGCGTCCGACTTCAACCAGGTCACGATCTCACGGTCCGTGAGTTCGAGCCCCGCGTCGGGCTCTGGGCGGATGGCTCAGAGCCTGGAGCCTGTTTCCGATTCTGTGTCTCCCTCTCTCTCCGCCCCTCCCCCGTTCATGCTCTGTCTCTCTCTGTCCCAAAAATAAATAAAAACGTTGAAAAAAAAAAAAATTAAGAAAACGCAATGCATAAAACAGATCAATCAGAGCAGCTCTGTCTAAAAGTAGAAGAGGGGGTGTGGCTTGGACTTCCACCAGCCTCCCCCATATCCCTTCTGGGAATCAAAATGCTTTGCAGGATATATGTGAGAACCATTTGTACGCTGGAAGGACCACTGGACTTGGAATCCCAAGTCTTGTTTTGTCAAATAATTGACCTTTGGCAGATCATTTGATTTCTGTGGGCTTTATCTCCATCTGTGATAATGAGGTAGTTAGACTAGAATATTCCTACAAGGTCTTTTCCAGTTCTGATATCTTATGGTCAGATTCTCTTTCCTTAGGCAGTATACTGTCCTAAACAAGCAGGGTGGGTGTGTGTTTCCATTTATCAAGAGAACTGAGCTTTTGGGGAGGCTTTTCTCTGAGCTTGAACAAATTCTGGATCATGCTAATCTTTCACTTTTGCAGGGATGCTATTCAGAGCACTGGCAGTTAAAAATTCACCTTTTCCCCCAGATGATACAAATTCTGTCTGCTCCAGGTCCCAGCGAGCAGATTCTCTGGTGACCGAAAGTAGACTGTTCGACTCTCCTAGGACCTGGGTGTATTGATCAGTGTGACAAAGTGTGCCGGATACTAAGTTAGCCATATGTGCAAGGTCTTAAGAATAGGAACAGGGCGCCTGGCTAGCTCAGTCAGAGTATCCGACTCGATCTCAGGATTGTGAGTTCAAGCCCCACGTTGGGCGTGGAGCTTACTCAAAAAAAAAAAAAAAAAAAAAAAA